GATGATGATGATGATGATAATGTTGCAAAAAAGTTTAAACCTGATGATGATTTTCAAGATTTACAAACTGAACTATTAGAAGAAAATCAAACATTAAAATTAGTTAATCCTGAAAGATATTTACGTGCACCAACAATAGATCGTACACAAAAGAATTCTGTACCACAAATACCAACAAATCTCAATTATTTTAAACAAGAAATGATCAATTGGCATGCTAATACAGAATTGAATTTAAACTCACATTTAGCACATAAAATTGTTAAAGATTTAACACCGGGTGGTGCACTCATGCATGGAACAACAGCACAAACATTATCACGTAATTTAAATTTTGTTAGATCCTAATAAATTCTATTTGATATTTATCTTTTAGAAATTGTTCCACAAAATATTCAAGAAGAAATGCAAACTATTTATGTATCATTAAGTGAACTTCTTCGTCATTTCTGGTCAGCATTTCCACCAAGTTCTCCACAAATTGAAGAAAAAATTCATCGTGTTCACGAAACAATTGAACGTTTTCGAGAAACACAAGTCAATTCTTTTAAAGAAAAAGTATCAACAGATCTTCTAACAGATTTTCATTTGGCCGGTCATATGGAAGATCTTATCGATATAGCAAATAAAAAATATCAACAATGGGTAAAAACATTATCATCAACAACAACTGGACGAACTTGAGTTCTAGAAAATTTATTTCGTTTATTTTGTGTATAAAAGTATTGAATAAAACTGAATTTAATTGATTGTATTGCAATATAATTCTATTTATGCTTGAAAAGAGAGAATCTTATTTGATTTCTACGATTTTAAATTTATTTTACGAACAATAGAATTAAAAAGATTGTCGAACGATTTACAATGATGTTGGATTATTTGAACGTCGAGTAAAAAACTAAAAATGATCTATAAAATTTTTTTTTATTAAAAATTGAATAAATCAAACCTGTTGAATTGAATTTGATATTTGAGTAAAATTATTCATTTGATAAAAACTATTTGCTAACCAATGAGGTAATTTTGATGGTATATTTGTTTTACTATATCGTTTATCAATTAGAAGAAGACAAGCATAATCTCCACGATGTCGAATAGCACGTCCTATACTTTGATTAATTGCTTTCCAACATGTATTTTCATAATAAGCTCTTCCGGTATTATCACCTGTTGTTGTAGATTTTAATTTCATTGAATCCAAATAACGCATTTTTTCAATCATTTCAGCTGAACCAATATTTGGATAAGGCATACCAACAACACATACACAACGAGCTAATTCATCCGAAAAATTAATTCCTTCACTCATTTTTCCACCGACAATTGAAAAAAGTAAACCACCTGTTCCATTCTAGAATAAACTTTTCAAATGAAGAAAAAATATTTCTAATATTACTTTGATTGATTTTGTATAATTTGTAAGAATATTATCAACATCACCTGTACGTTTTGGTTCCATAAAGATCTATGAAAATATAAGTATTGACAAGAAAAACAAATTCTATTATCAAACCTTCTTTTTTGCTACAATTTTATTTAATACAAAAGTCTTTTCAAAATAAGCATAAGTTTTTTGTAAATGATCATATGAACAAAAGAATACCACGAGACCATCTGGTATTGTCGAACAAAGTAATATAAGAACACGACCTAATTCATCCATCTGAATTAGAAATTATTATATTCGGGAAACAAACAGATCAATAAAATTTACCATTGCGGTATTCGAACGATTAGCAGCAGTAAATTCAAATTCAATATTTTTCGGTCCTGATGGAAGAGCTATGGCGAGTACATTTTCTGAAGGAACAATATGATCTAATCGAAGTATAATGAATTAAAATAGAATTTTCTGTTGTAAAGAAAAGATTTTACTGGATGATAATTGAAAGATTTTTTCTTCAGGTTGACCACAAGCAAGAAAAAGATGGTCAATAAATTCGCTGATCTAATAAAATATAAACGCTAAAAAGAAAATATTGTTTTGTTCATTACCGGTCTCATTGTTCCTCCTAGAAATATAAAAAGAATAATGTATGTATACGTGTTTTCCTTTACAAATATTACCAGCAACAATAACTGAACGAGCTTCATTAACAATTTCATTGAAAAATGAAGAAGTTCTCAGAGCAAAAAATCTAATTGAACATTGACCAAGAGTTTCTAGAAAATTTCAATGTTACAATGATTAACAATAATAGAATTATAATAAACCTTTGGTGGTAACAATGACTTTTCCATCATCTCGTGGATTTGTTAATGCTTGAAGAAATTGAGCAAAAATTGCAAATGAATTCGAAATTCGATATTCTGTAGATTCTAAAAATACATAAATTATCCTTAACTTATGATTCATAATTTCCTTATACCTTTATTTAATTGTCCTTCATCAAGAGTATTTGCTGGTAATTGTTTCTGTGTTTGTTTTTGTAATAATTTCTGTAATGCACTTTCAGTTATTTTCTTTTCTATATTATATAAATCGAATGCGAAATGTTTATGAAATATATATTTCTTTACCATCTGATAATTCATTTTTAGTTACAGGATATTTTGACATAAAACCATGTAACTAAAATATAGAATTGTTTACATTCATTCTTAAATATTAGTTATTAAACCTTTTTAGTTAATTCATTGGTTTTAATATAATCAATAAGTTGAAAGAGATTAACATGAATTCCAGCATCACATAAATAATCAATTAAATCGAACGTTATTGATTTTTCTATGATAGATTAATTCTTTTGAATGATAATTTTAAAAAAATGAACAATTTTTACCAGTTGAATTTGATGAAATAACAAGATTACTCCATTTTTCACTATCATATACTATTGGTAGATTTTCTTGTGCTAAATCAAAAGAATATAATATAATATTCAATTGCAAAAAAAATTCTATTTACAACAAAGTGTTTTGATTAAATTTAATTGTACATCTAATAATTGTTTAATTGATAGTAAATTTTTTGCTGTTAAACGAGCTTTATATTTCTCATGATAACGTGATAATTGACCATATGAATCAATTAACTAGATTTCAAAAATAAAAATAAAATAATTCTTTGTTTTTCATTTAAAATATACTTGATTTCCAGTTATATCATTCGAATGCATAGAACATATAGCATCAGGTAAATTATGTGCTTCATCAATAATTACAATATTATCACGCATTTCAATTCCACATGCTTCACGTGTTGATTTATGCATCAGTGTTTGATATGGTAGAACAACTAAATGAGCAGCTGCAATAGCTGCTCGTGTTGCATAATAAGGACATGTATTCAATTCACGACCAAGTTTTACAACATCTTCAATATCTTGTACATCACTCTGAAGAAAAACAAATTTATATCATTTATTCGAACGTTCTGCATAGTCAGTGTTAATGTTGATATATAAAAACTGATTTTTAGGCTCGAATCTGAACCTGATCAATGGCACTTATTGAAAATAAAACATAAATTAATAATGAATATTAAGAACTTCGTTTTTTTCTGTTGATTGACACTTGTTCTCTAGTTACTTATCGTTTTTGTTAATATTCTACAAAGATTATTTGTTTGAATATAATTTTATTTTATGTGCAACTGAAGAAAGAGATATCTCAATATTGCTTAGTGGAACACACTCTATTTTCGGTTTGAATAATTTTTTTGTGTGAAGAAAACTCATCGTTAATTTAAATATCTTACGAGAATATCATTTGATAAACATTCGACTCGATCTCGTTGTAAAAATGCACATCCACAAGCAGTTTTTTGTCGTTTTCCTTTCGTTGTTTTTTCTAAGAAAAGAATGAAAATATTCATTTAAAAAGAAAATATTTACTTTCTTTTTTTTGTTTTTGTAAATCCAAACATTTCTCATTAATTAATGTAATTGATTTTAATTTAAGGACAGATTCATTAATACATAGATTCTAAATAATAAGATAACGATTAAAAAAAACAATATAGTCACCAGTAAAAAAACCTATACCTGACGTGATCCAAGTGCTACTAAACGTAATTGATCAACAAATTTAGTTTTTTGAATTTCACCAATAAATTGTGAGATTTGAGAATGGGTACGAGTACAATAGAAAATCTTTCAAAAATATTAAGTTATTTTTTTTAGTTTTTGATTATTTAAAAACTATAATTTACTTTTTGAATATGAACTTTCTTATCTCGCAAACCAGTTTTATCAGTTTTTGTTGGTGAATCCATATCATCAAATAAAGTTTTACTATCAGTATCTTTTATAAGTAATTCTTCGTCACTAAAATAAACAAAAACATGATTTCGTATATCATTAAAAATAAATGATTCATACCTAAGTTCATCATCATTATCAATTTTAAATTGATCTTTTGATGTAGATGAATCATTATCAGAATTTTGAAGTAATTCACTATTAAATAATTGTCGATATTTTGCATCAAAATCTCGTTTCTGAATGAAATTATATGTAAAGAATGGAATTTAACAATAATAAATTTACTGTTTTCTTAATACTAGCAGCTAATGTATTCTTCGATGCATTTGCATATTGATCTTCAAGATCAATTTTTACTTTTAATTCATCCTAATTAAAAATAGCAATATCTCATTCATTCTATTCAAAAGAATATTATTAAACATACTCGTCGTTTCTCTCTAATAACTTCTTCTTCTTTACGTTTCATTATTCGTTTTAACCAATCATCCGAACTAAACAGAAGCTAAATGTACAATTGAAATAATCTTTCATTTATTTACCTTGAATCATTTTTACTTTCAATTGGTTTTGACAATTCTTCGTATTCATCTTTCCATGATTGTATTTCATCAAATAACCATCGAAGTGAACCACATATTATACTTAAACTTTTACCCTTTTTCATGGAAAAAAAAGAAAATCTAATAGACAATAATAAATGAATTACAATAGTATACAGTGCCAGTAGGTGATTCAAATATGCCATGCTTAGATTGTTGAAGAGTTGAATAAAGACTACGCATGAAATCTACTTGAATTTGATATGGTTCAAATGGAAACCCGAATGATGATATTTCGACTAAAAAATAAAATATATTTATTTTATAAGTAGAATTCTTTTATCTAAATGCCTATCGGAACTGTTAGATCTGGTTTTTTCGTGGTAATATCATCATTACAAGCAGCAAGTAATTCATCATCATTAATATCATCATCGTCAAACTTTGAAGATATTTGATTTGTCATCTAAGAAAAAAAAAGATTTGTTAGATCGTATAAAAATCTGAATGGAATATGTTTGAAGTATTGATGCAATGAATAAAAGGTTCATTATCATTTCGTCACAGAATAGTCGTATAATAAAATGTATGTGTGAATAGAAATATCTTTCTTTTGATGACCAATATTCTTACCAGAGGGCACCAGTAGATGGCTCTTAATCCATTATGTTTTTATCAATTGATCTTTGAAGTCGTTAGATTATCTCAGGCATATGAATTATTCTATTAACAGTGTTGCACAGTGGTATCAAATTATTATAAAGTATTTTATAAACAGATTTAGTATTAAATCGACTTGATGATGAAGATTATTTTATTTGATGATAATTTAGGGACTGAGTTGTAATTTTTTATTATTATTTTCAAAATAAATAGAGTAAATAATGTTTTTGTTTGCTCAGATATCATGTATTGAATTTATAGATCAAGTGAGTTTATCATTTGATGCTCGTCGTATATTTGTATGAACTATTCCTGAATACAATAAAAGTAAAACTCATCTGATCAATATTATATTTAAAACATCATTGTGTTTAAGGATGTCGATGAAGAATCAGAAGAACATCCATTCTCAAATATAATTGACAAATTATATACAAACAACAAATGAAAAGATTAATTTTGATTTTGATAACGACGCATTATTTAGAACGCATGTTTTTATTTCTTCCCAGGAACTCTTGAGGAAGATATGTAAACATCGATTCATTTTTTCTCTCTATCTATGATTCATTGATTGCCCCCGCATAGAAAATGACGCAGATATTTGTTCGAGAAAAGAACAAAATGACTCATTTTCTTCTCCTTCGTATTATTTGCATATAAAAGGAACGAGAAGAAATAGTAATCGAGACAAAATATTCTTTTAACATAAACGAATTCTATACATATAACAAATATCAACTATGAGTAAGTTCTGAGATTTACAATCGAAAAAGTTATTATTTATTATTTATATAGATTATCTTACAAGAAAACTTGAAGAAAAAATTGGTTTAGATTTAAATGGTGATGGTCGAATTGGAGGACCTGGAATTACTGCTAAACTTGAAAAAGCTACTCATATTGATTTCAATCGAGATGGAATCATTGGAGGACATAGACCACCAGCAGGCGGAGGTAGGATTATATAATTTAAATAATATAAAATAATACAAGTTTCTAATCGTCTTTTTTATAGGTCTTATTGGCAAAATTGAACGAGCAACACATATTGATATAAACAGAGATGGATATATTGGTGGTCGACCTGGTTATTATTATCCTCCACCACAGTGTCATCAGAGACACTGATTACATTATATAATTTGAAGCTATCATTCTTTTTTCAAAGATAATTATGTTTCTCAATGTATTGTAAATATTTTATATGTTTGTATTTTATTTTAATCATTAAATAGTGTATCGCTTACGAGATATCAATATAATTTTATTATATATACATAAAATTTCCTGGATATTTATACTCAAATGGTCTTAGATTCAAGTTTGTTTCCTAAAATGAAATAAACTACTAAAGAATGAATCGCAGTTTCACTATTTTGACTTTCACGAGATTCCTTTTGAACTTTATTTGTATATTAATCAGGGTATCCTCTTGAGTCTTTATGCTTTGTTAAAACATTGAAATCTAACGTTTAAATTTTGTGCCTGGAGTATCTCCAAAGGTCGAGAAAAAACTATGTGTCTTTGATTTTAATCTCTAATACCTATTTCAATAGGACTCGTTACGTTGATCACGAATATCATATTTCTATCAAGATTTGATTGGACAATAAAAAAACTGCGTAGGATCTTTCCTATTCCGATCCTCTAGGATTTTGTCTGGGAAATAATGTTTTTTTACTCCTATGTTCCTGTAAAGTTTTCTTTTGAATGATTCGATAATTTCAGTATTACTCAATTTTTTGTCCTCAATCTAGATCTGGAAGAATACCGAAGAGTATTATTTGTATTCTCTCAATAATAGCTTCTTGTTACGTGCAATTTTGTACTACTTAAAAAAGTTCATATAGTGTAGTTTCATAAAAGAGTCTCGATCCACTTCGACACTTATACTGTATATACAGTTTCATTTGCTCTTTCCCATGTATATATTGGGTGTGGGTGTGGATGTTAGTAGGGCAGTAGTTACTATATTCATCTAGCACACACAGCCACAGCCACAGCTACACCCACCATCAGTCACGACTCTCACGCGAAAAAGCTGAGCGAGTACTCAGACGAGCGTTATTTGTTAATAAAAGCAGTTTAAACCAGCCATTCCGACCTTGGTTCGCACTCAGCGAGTTCTATCACATATAAATTATGCTTATCGTGAAACATTGCTTTAGTATCTTTGTGTACAGCAATAACTTCAAAAGCCGTAAATGGGACGATAAGGACTTCTTCCTCATCGACGAATTTACTCATTGAGCTAATGTTGAGACTTGACCGTGCATTTTTTACTATGTAAATACAGAGTACCGGAGTACGTCTATCTAAATCTGTAAAATTCAGATATATTTCAGCCACCTCACGTGATCTTGATGTAGACAGAAACGATCGCGTTAAAATGATACTTCCTGTAACGTAGCTGTCGATATCTTTTTGAGTTATATTCATGCCACGAAACGTTTGACCTGCATGACGGTACGGTTCCAAGAGATGATGGTTGATCAAAATTGCACCGTATACATACTGGCCCACATTTCGTGGGGTTTCAGTATCACAATAGGAGAATACTTCGCCAATCTCATGGAATGACTGAAAACGAAAGTCCGATCCAAGTATTGCAAGATCCGCATTAAGACGTGTACTAAAGCATTGTTGTTCTGTATAAGCCTTGATCAAAGGTATAGGACTCTCATATTCTTTGGCCATTTCCATGTATTCTTTCAAAGTTTCGATGAATATTGATGGCAGATCGGTCAACTGATGAATATAGTTCTCTTCTAATTCTTCTACCAGTTTAACAAAAGGAACTTTAATTAACCACCGCTTCAAATATTCTTGATTCTGTGCCGAAATACGATAGGCATATTCGTAAGAATCAAGCCATTTTTCTACTTCGATTGTTTCTGCTACAAAGTGACTTCCTTCTGCTGTTGGTTCTGGAGGTAATCGAAAATAGGCTTTGAACAACTTTTGAATTGTTTCATTTGGTGCCTCTTGCTCAGCAGTTCGGCCTGCATGATTCAAAATTGTTCGTGAAGCTCGTCGCCGGAGAAGTAATTGAACTATATCAGCATAACCGTTATGGCTCGCAACATGTAACGATGTATTTCCATCTGAATCGATTACCGCATCGAGTTCTTCGCTTTCCAAACGGAAAAGAAGCTGTCTTACTGTCTTTATGTCATTGACAATACATGCATGATAAAAAGATGTGGCATTACCTGTATAAGTCCTAGAAAACATTTTTTATGAGTACTCAAGGAAACAATACAGTATTCTTCAGCTTTTTATTCTAAGGGTATGCATTTTTCGCACTCTGTTATCTGACAGAATAGTTCGTCTATCAAAATATGTGAAAAGCTCCAATGGTCCTATACGAAACGTCACACATTAGAAACATATATATTTTTAAATCACGAGAGTTCTACACTACTTTGCGTGAGACAAAACGAAGTATTTGATTTACCAACCTGACTATTGCATCGACAGGTGAAAGACTACGCTTTCGCTTGCAAGACATTACCATCAGTTTTTTTTGTAAAAACTGTTTGCCTTCAGGACGAAAGAAAATGTGAAAGTAATAAAACATCAGCACAGAGGACATTTAAAAGTATAAAGTGAATTACAATCATCTAGGAAGAACAGAACAGAAAAAACGACAACCTTTATTGCTTTACACTAAAGCACGTACGTAACTATATTACTGTTCTGCTGTGCATACAACTTTTCTCGTAGTCAGTTTCTTTTTCTCACACAAAAATTTCGTACACGTGTTTTCATTCTTGTAAGTAGCAATAGAAGTTGATGCATACAGCTTTTGCTTCCAAAAAAATTCCATACGAAAAACAATAATATAGAAAATAGAGACAACAAATAGAGAAAAGCACTAGGAATTGATCTAACAACGGAAGGTCCCGAGGTGATGATCCGAGTTAAAGGCTGATATTGCGTGAGTTTGCTATGTCTAGTGGGTGTGCGTGTATTTTATTTATCTCACCCGCACTCTCAAGACCGGCCGGTACTTGACCAGTCCGATTCGGGTAGAGAAGAATGGACCGGTTCCAACTTTAATACACGCTAGAAACGGGCACAGTTTGAACCGCAACTTGTTAGATCGACCACGGTTCCAGTACGCTCAGCTGATATCGCTTATCCATTCGGTTCCGTTTTTACATAAACTGATGAAGTCCAAACCGTTATTTCGATAGTTAAACTGATAAAAGTGAATGAAAAGAAGACGTTTTAGGTAGCGTTGAGTCCAGAAATATTTTACTAATCTTATTTCGCCAAAATAACACACCATATTCACAAATAAATTTTACTTTTGAGACTAAAAGGTACTGATATTATTAGCGGTTAGAACAAATTAATCATAGTTTGCATAGTTGTGATTATAACACGACTAAATCCAAAAAACAAAAACTAAGAAACATATTTCTCTACTCATTATATCTTTCCAGTTATTACACTATAACATAAGGAGGATCGCTGTAGACATAAATATATATGAGGAACGAATGTAGCATCCGAACCTATGTCTATCTGCATCCATAGTCATGCACTCATCTTTTATGTTTTCATTACAAAGAGATTATGCCAACAGCTTTTTTTCTTTCGAGTCTATTTCTAACGGGTATAGTATAGTAAGCAATGCTCTTCCAAATGTGTCCCTACTATACTATTGTTTCTTCGTAGCCATGCAGTTTTACATTGATCACGGTTGTCAACACATAACTGATTTAATCGATTATTTTCAAGAATCATTTCCTATACAGCCTGCGGATGAGGCGCGAATGAAACTTTCGCAAATAAAAGCTTTTTATGATGATATTCCATTACGTTTGAACCCTACCGAAAAGAAAACGGCAAATAACAACTGGTGTATGACAAGAATTCTCCTGCTGGTTCGTCGAGTCTCCCGTACGCTTGCACATATATTGGCTGAATGTAGGCGAAAAAACAAGGGTTTCGCAGAGCTACTAGTCCTATTAAATGGTGTCTATTCCGAATGCGAGATAATTACTATTCTTGGCCATGATTTAACGGATCATAAATTGGAAAAATTGCGTCAATTCGAAGCTGAATTTCAGTATGAAGAAGTGTTATACGAGAGAGAAATTCGTGCGCAACAACGAATTAACACGCCGATTGATATTAACATATTAAAGATATATCTGACGCATTGTATTATGGATAATTCTCTTATGTACGTGAACGAACTTGTAGATGATTTAGACGAGTTTCTATTAAGTCGTGATAATACTGTAGCTACAGAAAATCAGGAAAATTTAAAACAATGCTTGTGTCAGTTACAAATTCCACTAGAAGTCTTTTTGACAGAATTTGAAGATGATCCACGAACTCAAATTGAACGAGATCATATACGACGAGAACTTGCTTGTGACAGACACGTGTCTTCATATATTGATGAGCATACTTTACATGGATTTGCTCAGAAAAATGGACTTTTGAGGAGAAAAAGCAAAGGCAGATCTACAATTGATATCTTTAAAAACGATCGATATATTATCCTTCTTGGAGATCCAGGCAGTGGAAAAAGTACGTTTATGCGTTTCTGCATTCGAAACTTTGCAGATAATCTACTGAATTCACTGCAAACTGATGGAACTGAACGAATTCAGCTTCCTCGTATACCTATTTTAATTCGTTTAGCATCGTTTGCCAAGCAATGCGCTGAGAAAGAGTCATTGTCTATACTAGAGTATATCCAAAACACGGGAAACTCAATCGCATCAGGTATTGGAGAAATGTTGAAAGGTGAAGTTATAAAAGGTAACTGCTTACTTCTGTTCGATGGACTTGATGAGGTTTTTACGTTTCAAAGCCGCTGTAGGGTAGTTCATTATGTACAAAGTTTCATCGAAGAATTTGCTCTTACTCCGGCGTTCATATCACCTTTTGATAGTTGGAATGAATCTCTCGAACGAAGTCTTAATGGCGAACTGCCATCTGAAACGAGTGGAAACCAGATTATAATGACAAGTCGATTTATTGGTTACGATGCTACTGTACTCGTGGGCCACAGTATTTCACATTACGTGGTCCCACCTCTAGGAATTGAAGAGAAAAAAAAGTTCATTGACCATTGGTTTTTTCACGTGAATGAATCAGTGAATAAAGTGTTAAATCGACATAATCTCGGGAATTCTGAAACATGCACTTCTTGGGTAATCTATGCTGATCAATTGAAACAGAATATTGAAAAAAATGTCGATTTATTTACGGTGACCTGTAATTTTCTGCTTCTTTCAATGATCTGCGCTCGCCAATATTTTTCCAAGAACAAACCATTGCCGACACTCCGAATTCAACTTTATCAAGAGTTTGTTGCGTCTGTGCTCCGTAACAGACGTTTGTCGAAGCAACTAATAATGTCAGAAAGTATGATACGTTGGATTCTGGAAGATGTAGCAACATATATACACAGAGAAGAGCCTAGCGGCATCATAGATCGATTCGTATTAAAACGTGTTTGTGTTCGCTCACTAAAGGCATTTTATAAGAAACACGAATCTTCACACTTAACGGAGCCACACAACTGCGACCTCGAAGCTGACAGTTTTATTCGGATGGCTGATCACGACGCTAATCTATTGGTAGCTCGAGGTCAACAAATTTACGGATTTATGCAAATGGTATTTCAAGAATATTTCGCTTGTTTACGATTAGTTCGCAGCGAAACCAACGGAGAGAATGTAGCAGAAGTACTTAAGATGTTACTCGTACATATCAGAAAGCCCAGATTTTTACTTCCTGTTTCATTAGGCCTAGAATGGCTAAGTTGTAACTGGACTTCGGATAAATTTAATCTACTTTGCAAGCAACTAATTTCTTATGGTGCTACAAATCAAGAACTTCCTGTAGGTGCAATGCTATTAATCGAGACAAGTGTCAACCTCAATAAGAAGCCAGCCGATTCTACTCTTTTTGATGCTCTTGATCGTTTTGCTCGTGCACACGCAACATATGAATGGTTTTTCTATCAGCAGTCTCTTGGCGAGCAATTTTGCTTTGCTCTGGAAAAACTTCGAACAGTTCAATCTACGGAGTGGCTGCTATTGTATTTACGAACAGCTTCTTCATATGAAATAGTTGACTTGTGCTTCCTCCTTCATCGGTACGTCATGAGTACTCCAGAGTTTCCAGAATGGTTGGATACAGACATATGTATGCTCTTATCGACATATATTCAGCATGATATCGATAACAATGAGTATGCTGTTGAACAATTACTTTGTCTTATTGCGGAAAAAAAGCACGAAAGATTATGGAAAATAAGAGCAAACTCGAAAGGACTAGAAGCACTTACGAAGGGCATCGTAATGCATAAGAATCAGCATCATCCACTTATATTAGCTGTTATGATTTTACTTCATGGGGGGTTGTGTGGAAAAGAATTTAATAGCTTCTATATCCATCGCGATTCTGCTATCTCTATCTTCATTGCCGAATATTACGTTCAAGTTAACCTTTCACACGCTGCAAAAGTTACTCTTCTACTAGAGAGATGTGATGTAATCATACATGAAAAAGCCAACGACGACACATCATTACCTGTATTAGACGCATTCACCACCCTATTGTGTCTTAAAGGAATGCACGACCGTAATCTATGCGAAAAGTTCAAGTTTCACCGTGGATTTTACATCGCTATACGAAGACTGAAAAATACACTTCTCTACCTGCGCAAGCAATATAATTGTAGATCCGACGACTTTTCACTTGACGATGAATTTTTGATGAAAATATGTGCAGGTAGTAAAGCTGCATGCAGACGTTTTCTGGAGACAATACGACAATCTACTGATCAAGGAGAAGATAATTCGATATCTATCCAAGACAAAATACTTGCCAGCGAATATACGTTGGCATTTATAGATGCTATAGCTATATCTTTAGCTTCTCTGACCTTACGTATAAATTATCCACACCATGAAATAGATTGTACATTTTCGTTATTTAAGTGGAGAATGCCTTTTGACATGTGGACAAATGAATTACGTCATCTCATCAAAATAGATGATTTATCGTACAATATAACAAGAGTTATTCCGGAGTGGATTTCGTTTTTGTCCATGATCATCTATTCAGACGATGGTATTAACATTTGCTATGAAGACGACAAATACATGCACAAGCAGTTGGTGCAATCTATCTCCGATCATACACACATTTTCTATTACGCTAAAGACCATCCGTTATTTCTTCTTTCATTTATTCGT